TCGCTTGTAAAGGAAAAATCAATGTAGAGGAAGGAGGAGAGGTTCAGCACGCGGTAGTTAGCGCATTGGAGGATTTAATTATCGCTATTGAACAGTAAATTGCTATTATTCTATTATAACATATACACGATATATATATATTTGCGTTGACCAGTGAGGAATCGTAAAGAAATAAGCATATAGTTATAAATATAAATATCGTAGCGTTTAGTTTTACATATTATACACCCGTCACATGTGTAGAAGTCGCATTCCAACGTCTAAGTTTTTAATGAAACAAATAAATTACTTTGGGCAAAACGGGTACTCTCGTTACTCGGTCCTCGTCAGTCCCTGTATTCCTGGCAGGTCCGCTTGTATATATAATTGTTTATATTTGACATTCTTGCGCTTGCAATTCTTCCAGAAGACGTCACCGGTCATTCCCCATGAGAGTAGAACAACATGGAAGAAGAGAAAAACATAGATATTTGTTATTCGCAAAAATATGAGAATTAAATTAATTAATTGTTTTAACAAGACAGAAAACTGGCAGGAATGATTGTGGATCTGTTTCTAAAATTCTAGAGAAACATGCAGAGGAACGTTGGAAACTCGAAGGCAGATCATCTTTGTAAGTAAGCCATGATAAATTTCCTGCTAATTGCGAGATCCTGAGAGGTACTTGCGTAATGATAAAAATATGAATCAACATGAAGTCTGTTTTGCACTGATCTGCATTGAAAATTTCTTTTTCGCTTTTCGCCGAACTTCAAATATATATTTATTTCATTTTAAGTACGAGTGTATCACTCGCTCCATTTGCATTCACTTACTTCTCTTTTGTTAAATCAGCAAGAAATAATTTATATGAAAGTATATATATATACAGGGTGATTTTAACATATTTCGTCAGAGACGAAAATCATTTATTTTCTTCTCATAGAACTCTAAAAAATTTTTTCAGAATTTTTTATCAACTTTTTAGTATTGAATTTTCTTATTTTTATCAGCATGAAAGAATACGGTATTAAAAAATTCTGAAAAAATTCTCAGAACTTTAGGAGAAGAAAATAAATGATTTTTGTCTCTTGCAACTTTTCTATAAAATTGATAGTATTTAAGTAAAAAATTATTCAAGACCAATATTTGGCAATTTTGAGTAATTAATGTCTTGTTAACTATTGCGAAAATTGCAAAATATAGAGGACTTTTCGACTCAGTTCGATTCACTCTACCTGCTCATAATGAGTGACGAAATATGTTAAAATTACCTTGTATATACGTACCTGTAATTATATTTCTTACATAAGTATATCTAGTATAAATAAAATGATATACATAAATATAACGTACATACATACATGTAATAATGTTTGTAAAATATTAGAATCTACATAAATAACAATCATATGTTTTTAACTAATATAAATATTTTCATGCACGACTAGGTGTAGAAAATTCACGAATCCAGTGGAATCCAGAACAGAATAGGGGATTTACGAGTTGAAGAAATATATAGACGTAGGGGATTCTTCGTGAATCCTGGTGAATCCTCGCGATAGGGTTATAAAGTGTCGCCGGTGTCGACACTCGACACCGCTATGCGTGAGCGTGATGCGTGATACGTCCCGTCCCGTGTCGCCCGTGCGCGATGTACTCTGCGCCAGACCAGTCATCAGAGACACCAGATACAGCTCTTGAGCTCATGCAGCCCAATACAGCCAGCTGCCAGACATCACGGCGCGCTCGTCTGATTCGCATGCACTCGTCGACACTCGTGTTTTCGTATATCTCGTGTACGCACATACGCTGACGATCTTCCATTGATATCAGCTAATGCCACTTGTCGTAAGCATCGCTGCTCAATAGACTCGTGTTGTACTGCGGAATGCAGTTGCAGTAGCTGCGACAGCGACCGCCAGTGACTATTATAAAGTACGAGGATAGTGCCACGGAATAACAATACGTCGCTCATTATTACGAACAGTATAACCGTTGCAAGGTTAGGCACAAGGTTCGCGCGGCGAAGCACGACGCGGAATCGGACTTCGGTTCGGAGTCCGCTTCCGAGGGGTAAACGCGCGACACTGATATCACTCCGACAGCGGATATGGACGGCAAGGTCGACGACGAGAATCAGCGTGGCGTCAACGACGGCGACTGGGTCTGCCCTGACTCCCAGTACGTAGTTAACGTACTTATTGTTAATGTCACTGATACGAATGACTATTGATGATTGATTCGCACCCTCGATCAAGCCTCTCTCTCTTCTCCCCTGCAACTATATTTCCATTTCTCTAAATCAAGATTCGCGTACGTTACAAGTGAATAATGATCCATTAATGATTTTCCCCTCTCATCTTTTCAGATGTGCCAATATAAATTTTGCCAGGCGTAACTCCTGCAATCGCTGTGGGAAAGGTACGCAGCTGTGTACAATTGAAATATTTATATTACTCTGTTTTGCAATGTTGTGTAGTGACTATAGTCTATATTAAACATAGAATGCCAGTTGCATATTAGATACATAAAGTACAAGTAGCATTCCGAGCATGTACTATATAAAATATTAGACATTATTTTATTTATATTAATATAATTTGATCTGATACAGATAGAGGTGAATGCCCGAAAAAGAAAAAATTGGGCCAGGAAATTGGAAAAGCAGCCGCGGAAAAAAGTAGAGGCCTATTTAGGTAATGTTTATTTTTTATTAGTAATAAACAATATATAGAAATCAATTACTTGTATGCAAATTATGAGTACATTATGCAGTTAATAGATATAAATAACAATTGTTGTTATGGAAAATAGGACTATGATAATTTCAAATAAAGCTAATATTTTTGTATACATACAAAAAGATATTATTTGAATAATGGTCATGTATGATGAATTTGGAATAAATATAAACATTCTGGATATTAAACATATATTTAAAAAAACAATGTAATAAAAGTATAGAGTATTCATTTACATTTTATTGTGTTTCTGCAATATCTCTTCAAGCTGTTAAATTATGTACATATATAAATATATATGCAAAGTATAAAAAATTGCAGCGCGGACGACTGGCAATGTAGTAAATGCGGTAACGTAAACTGGGCTCGTCGACAACAGTGTAACATGTGCAACGCTCCGAAATTCGGTGAGATAGAGGAACGCACAGGATACGGAGGTGGGTATAACGATCGAGGAGTCGTCGAATACAAGGAGAGGCGAGATGAGGATGATGAGTATGACGAGTTCGGACGGCGTAAAAAAAAGCGAAAATTAGAGAAGAATTCCGATGACGACTCGAAGGATTCCAAGTACAGCAGCCCGCGTAGTAAATCTAGAGACAAGGAAGAAAGGGATGAGGACGAAGAGAAGCAAGAAGAAAACGTAAAGTTTTTATGCTGCGCTTTAAATGCGGCGTGACTTGAAAAGTGTGATAGAATTTGATAAAGTCACGCTCTTCAATATAGCATTGATTGTAAAGTACATTGCGGACATGTAATTGATATTATAAATCACAGGAGGAAGAGGAAGACGACGAGGAGGAGGAAGAGGAAGAGGAAGAGGAGGAAGATGGTGATTTATCTAAATACGATCTTAGTGAATGGGATGATTTTGCACCAGCAAAAAAAAGGTAACTATACATACAATTACGTTATTATCCATTTTTGTAAATGTTATTGCAAATTTTTATCTTTCAGTACAAACGGAAGTACTATATCTTCAGAAGCACAACGGTCAAGGTAAATTAATAGCGGTAATGCAAAATATATCCGTTATTCTCAATCAACATAATTAACAATGCTTTCTTATATTATTAAATTAACGACATTTGTATCAAAAACGTTTATTATAAGGCATGAAACTTATTTACAGAAACGGAGATGATCGGCGCGATTCAGGCACATCCAACCAATGAAAGGCTGTACAGAAGGACAGGTTTGACTTGGGTTTCGGGTATAAAATTGATTATGATGATCAGAGTTGCAGACAGCGTACAATGTGATGAATTTTGCTAAAATAATGTATAGTTCCAGATCCTTAAGACTTAAAGTATAACCTGCTTTTTATTGCGATTATATCTCAGTATATCGCGTAAAGACATCGAGTAGAAAGATTAGCGTTGATTTAGCAAAAGAAAGAAGCGCAAGCGTTCTTCTCATTCAACATATGAATTTTTACAGGTGAACCAGGAGATGAAAGAACGCAACCAGTGCTCGGCAACTAAGAAATATACACAACGCAAGTTTTAGTAATTTAGTATGCACCTTTGGATATAAAGTGGCCGATAATGTGTGACTTATTACAAAGGGAAATCGACTAACAATAAGCTTTACATTTATAATTGAGCTCATAGCTTCGTTGATCCTAAGGAAGCGAAATGTAGGTCTCCTATTTGCGCGGGTATATCGTTGTTCTAACGATTGCAGAGTTTATGAAAAACTACTTCGGCGCAAGTAGTATGTTTCGCTAGCGAGATACGAGATTGATAATTTCAATATGAATCTATAGAAGAAATTATACAAAGCTTGTTTTACAAGCTAAATATGACGTTGTAGAAAAAGATCTTACTCCTATTGTAATAGATGGTGTCAACGCTCTGCGCAAGCCCCGTCGTCGCAGTGTTCTAAAATTCCTATTACTTTTATCACAAACGTAACTATATCGATGTAGCCATGTCACTGCTTCACATTGCTCAAATTGCCTGAAGAAACCTAACTTTTTCTTCTTTTGTCCCCTTGTGTCTCTCTCTCTTTTTACATCATTTATCTATGTATAATGCTCGCATTAAGTGAACAATCGTCAAGTGTAGTTAAAGAATCATTCCCCAAACAGATATGTATTTTGCATCTTTTGGAAGAGACCAAAAGGAAAGGATACGTTATCTTGCTTTGACTATCACAGATTTGAGTAAGTTGAGAAACAGCCTGCTCACTTTGAAAATGTAGCGCTTTTTAAATTAGTCGTGTCCCGCGTCATTGCAGATATGGACTTGTCGTGAACTCCGACGGCCGTTCTTGAATCGCAAAACGATCAAATATCGTACTGACTTCTTGTAAATATCTTTATTTTTCATTTATAATAAAAATCATTCATCAACAACATAATTGTTCTTAGTTCAATTAATTCTTTCCTTATATTGTAAACTACGGGTAGGGGAGGGGAGGGGAAGAAGTCATGATTATGCACAGAGTTGGTCGTAGGGGGGGAGGGGGAGGATCGATGAAGGAGTATTGGGGATATTGAAGGATTATGTTGCAACAGGTATATATATATATATATAATATATATAATATGTATAATATGTATATGGTATATATGTACAATAATAAATTTGAGCTTGTTTGACTGTGTTTAAGTATTTTAGTGATAAAGGAAGGATGAATTACGGCACTGGCGTACCAAAATCCTCTTGCTCATCGTACCATGCACTTTTGTATATGATTACTTTATCTCGAGTAACCAGTATGAACAAAGAGCAAAAAAAGGAGAGATTTCACTTATTTTCTTCCTCTCTTATTTTTTTACACTCGAGCGGTAATAACGTATTTCTTAATCTAGCAATATGATTCTCGATCTGAAGTAACGACTCTTACAAAAAAAAGAAAAAACCAGATTGTACATCAGTATTTACACGAACGCGAAGGATAATATTCATCCGTCTTCGTTAACATTTACGATTTACAAATAGTTCCGGAAGATTTCGGTTCGAAACGACACTTCCAAGAGACAACAGATTTGGAAACACGACATATGCCGTGGTCCAGAAATTAAAAAGAAAAAAAAATAAAAAATCTCGCTTAATACATACGTAAACGTTATACACAAATAAAAAATCAACTAAAATTTTCGTCGCACATCAGTCGTAAGGATTATCTTTGAAGATGTTCAGCGATGCTCATCGATATTCATATTCCTTTCTGTCCTTCGTAACATCGCTAGCACAGTTTACACTTCCAGAACTATATCTTGCGTGATTAATAGAAACATCCCTGATAGACGAAAGAGATAAAGATAGATGGATAGATAGAAAGAGAGCAAAAGAGATATTGAGAAAGAGAGAAAAAGAGGGATGAAAGGCCACCATAAAAATCGTCCTTGTTCCCGTCATTCTCGTTCTCGTCATCGTTATCATTACGATATGGATCAATACCGGGCAGCGTTCACTTCGGCATGAAAAATTGTTGATGCGAGTGCGAGTTCGGCGGTGGATGCAAATTAGGATGCGGCGGCCCGCTGCCTCTAGTACCAGTGGCATAAAGCTGTTGTTGGAAGTTGTGAAACTGTTGAGCATAATTTGGGTCAGACATGCTGGGTCCGCTTCCGACGAATGGACCAGTTTTGAAATTGCTGGTTGCGCCGCCCATGCTCGGCGGTAGAGGCTGAGTAGCATCGGGCGGTGGCCCCAATCCCATCGGACTGGCCTTATTGCCGGATACGCCGTACATGCCTGGATTCGGTTGATTCGATAGATTTTGCGATACCATATCGGGCGGGAAGACTTTGTCGGAATCCATAGAGCCGCCTGGGAAGACGCCGCCACCTACCATATGTTGCATCCGCATCAAGTTGGGTTGCGGTCGCATGTTGCCGACCGGTCTCATTGACGGATGCATGGTGCCGGAGGTGTTCATGGACTGTCCATCCATTCTGGGTGAGGCACCCATACCAGGAATCCCGGCGGCATTCATATTGGACGGCATACCGCCATGCGGACCCCCCATGTTGTTCGGTATACAACCGTTCGGGAAGTACTGAAGGTTTACAGAGGGCGTCCCTCCCATTTTTGACTCTAGATTGGACAGTGGATTGGTAAATCGCGGAAGGAAATCCAAACTGGGTGGACCCCGAGGTGCATGACCAACGTTTGGCCTGGCCGGCAAGTATTGTATGGTATTGGGTGCATTCGGCTTTACTTGAACATTTGCGCCGTTGTAAGGACTGGGCCCTGCGACTCCGTGGCCGGTTATTAATCTTGGCGGTGGCGCGTGTCCTGGGTCACCGCCAGGATAAGCAGCGCCGGCTGCTCCGACACCAGAGTGGCCTCCCATCATCCCATGAGCACTCATTATAGCAGGATGCCCCATCTTGCTGGGAACCCCGGGGCTGCCCGTATGCGAAGTAGTAGGGCTATAACTTGTTGGAGGACCCGCAAGACCCATGCACATGCCACCGACCTCATTGCCAGGTTCACCACTGGCTGCACCCATATGACAGCTTCCATTCATTTCACCACCCATCTGCATCATGTGCATGCCGGCATGTGGATTGCCAAACGGCATCATGCCAACAGCGTTACCGGAATGCATGGGCTCGTTGCCCAGCGAATTGCTAGCCGCTGTATTCGTGAGCTGTTGGCTCATTTGCGCCAAGGACGTTATCGGATCAAAATTCGTACCCATGGTGTTCAAACCAAGTCGACCGCCAATGTTGTTAGGATTGAGAGGCACGTTGTCAGATGGTTGACTCACGTTTATGGACGGCCTGCCACAGGGGAAAGAAGCACCGGCGGGACCGCCACTCAACGATGGCACTACCGTCGTATTCCCAGAATTGTTCGGATTTACTACCGTAGGCTGTTGTTGTGGAGGCTGCTGCTGTTGTTGCTGCGATTGCTGTTGCGATTGCGTTTGCTGTTGCTGCTGCTGAACATCTTTTACGGACGGTGGAGATGTATCGGGTTTCATGGTAGGCGATGCCGGTACTGTTCGCGGTGGACCCATACTGTCGGGCATGCTGGTGTTGTGCGGCGTCGGACTACTTTGTGCGCTTGCACTGGATTTGTTGCACGGTTTCCCAGGATCCGCTGGAGTATGTGGCGCGGCGCTACCCGGCGTGTGCGGTGTGTGCGGTGTGTGAGGACTATGCAGAGAACCCGTGAAGCCTCGGCTCATGCTATCCATTTGTACAGGACTCGCGCCCTCTGATCTAGTAGGAAATTGACTGTTACTATCTAGACTTCCTGGCAAGATTCTGTTGGGCATCTCTGAAGAACTGCCGGTATTCCTATTATCAAAAAACGGAAAAAAAAGTTTATAGTTTTGCGCAAGTTTTATATAGGACTACATTAACCGAGATTTTTTTCGAATGATATTACTCTATAGTTAAAATGAGAGAATGAGAGTACTTACGTAGATGAATTGCCATCTTTTAGACTCGTGTTAGGTTGTTTCTGAATGGTCAGTTCCTGCCCTTCGAACGTGCTAAGGTATTGAAGTTGATGAGGACTCGGTACTGGCATTAGATTTGCTTCTTTCACGGCCGATGCATTAACGTTTCCAGCATGTTGCTGCTTTTGTTGAGCTAAAGATTGTAGTGTTCGGCAAAACATACCGTCCACTAAATCGAAAAGAGACACACAAATTTAATTTATAAATTATACAAAATTTTCATTACATCAGATTACATTTTGATCAAACCAATGAAAAATCTTTACAAAAAGAAAGTCTTCAAGTAAACTTACCGTTTGGTTGTTGATTGGTAGGAAAATCGAGGGAAGTATCCTTTTGAGCAGTAGTACCACTAGGACTAAGAGCAGCAATATGGGAATGAGACACTGGTGTTCCTGGATTGCTGTGATTCAATCGCGTCGTTGAAACAGCTGCTGTGGCTGCCGTGGCAACCGTCGGGTTTGGGGAGTCCTGGCTTGTCGGGCTTTGTCCTGGCAGGTGGCTGGTCCTCTGATTACCAAGTTGGAACTGTCTGTTGCAGTCCGCAGGTGAATTCAGAGCGGAACTTGCGCGCGGTGATGGTAACGACAGGTTGCTGGTCGGATTGTTGGGTGACGATGGATTCGGACTTTGAATTGCAATTGGAACACTGGCGGATCGAGTTGTTTGATGATACGGTGGTGGCGGGCCTTGACTTCGCGGTACTCCGACCATATTGGTACCGCGCAATGGTACTGCACCAGGATTACCTACAGTTGCCTACAATATAGAAATACAATGAGTATACATGCATCTACAGATGTATTTTGTTACGAAAAATAATTTATTCAATTAAATTTATTACACATACCTTATTTTTTCCATCAAGAAATTGATGCTGCAATTTATGCCAATCCATAGATGGAGAACATTGATTTGGAACACCTACAGGAGGAACATTCGTGGGAGGACACGTCGTTCCTTGAGCCGCATCTGTTAAAGCATTGCCAGCTTGATCCTCCTTGTGACCGGGAAATAATATCATTTGCATTTTCCGTAAGGTCGCCAGTTGAACTTCTCTGTGCTGCCTTTGTTTCGGCGTCAAATTTTCATCTGGAACTTTGACACCTTGGAGAGATGGTTGTAAACCTCCTGGACCTGGACTCGTTGTGCCACCTAATAAATTCGGACTGTGGCCCATGGTAGCGTTATTAGCGGGTTGAGGATTGGCTGTGTTAAAACATAGCACACATTAAATTTCGCATACGTAAAATATTAACAATCGATTTAGATGAAATATGTAGAAAAATTACCTGAATTACCAGGTGAATTCGGCACAAGACAAGGCACGTCTATGTTTCCATCATCCAATGATGGTTCAGAATTACCGAGAGAGTTTCCACCATTTATGTTTCGCAAGTTAGGTTGTTCGTTCCAAAATTGTGGAGCATTTGGATCTAGTGCTGGTAAATCCGGGGGTTGTTCAGTCGGGAAAGTATTATTCGCATTTCCCTGATGGCCTTTCTGTTTCATCATAGCAAGATTATTTAACCATTGAGCAGGATTTTGTCGAAATTGATTTACTTTATTTGGATGTTTCTAAAAGAATAAAAATGATAAATATATATTAATGGCAATTAAATAAATAATAAGTAATATGTGTATAATGTATATGAAAAGACAAATTGCGAAAAGTAACATTTTGTGTGAGATATTTAATATTAAAAATGATATAAATGAAACACTAAGAGATAAATTGTATAAATAAATAAAAAAATAATATGAAAATAATATATATCTGTAATATTTCAACAAGGAATTATGGAATAATAATTTCTATAATTTCTATCTTTTCTATATTTAGAATTTAATTAAGAATTTATTTTGTATAATAAGCTGCTCGTGTATGTAATAGAAAATCTATAGTACTAAAAGAATTCAATGCTGCGCATAATACCTCCAAATATTTTTTAGTGCCTGGTTGTGCACAATGATAAGCGATGATTGAATCATATTCGCCTCTTAATACCGTCTCTGCAGCTTTATTCGCTAATGCCGTAGAAAATACAAAAACTTGACTCGACTGTTGCATATATTGAGTCTCCCCGCTGCTCGTACTAGTTCCCATCTGTTTTCCCACGACATTACTAACAAGTGGTTGAATGCTGTCCGCTGTAATAACATTTCCACTATAATCTACAGCAAAAAGGATAATTTAATTAATCTAATATATGACATGTGTGAGAAGAAAAATAAATGTACACTTAACGTACATATAAATAAGGACAAGAAGTGAAAAACTATAGATATAAATTAAAAGTTAATTCTTACCAGGTAAATTGTCAGTGGGATTGTTAGGGTCGCCCTCTTGCTTGACCGAATTCAGGATGGGCTGATTCCCGTTAGCATTCTGATTCTCCCCAGACATTGTACCTTCACCATTAGATGGATCCAAGCAAGGGTCTCTTGGACACTCGGAAGTATCCTCTCCAGTCGCATCGTCCGTTCCACCTGTGCCTTCTTCCTTGATTTTAACAGGGTCGGCGTCAGGCTCATCCTTGACAACGGTGGTAGGAGGACAACAGCTGGGCTCGTTGGGCTTCTTTTCGGTTTTCATGGCTGGAGCTTGCCGCATACGCAAACGAGCGAGCGTGTCAAACCTTGCTGTTGTGGTTGAACAGCGGAAAAAGACGCATGGCCACTAGCACTAGGTTCGCGTCCTCGATGTTCGATTATCGCGTGAGCAAATAAAGAGAGAAAGGGCAGGCAAGAGGAGAGAAAGGATAGGTTAACGTCGAGATGCACGTTGTCCGGTCGACCGTAGATCACGCACACTCACCAGACGGCACCTACGAAACTGTTCGTGGCACGAAGCATCGCCATGTGGTCACTTCCCATAGGATAACACGATGAGATCCGTCATAGAGACGACAGGATCCGAGTTTATCGCAGTTTATCGCGCGAGAATGTATTATGTGTCCGTTGTGCGAATAAAAGAGGATACTACGGGGAAGCCTCGCCACCTGGATAAGTGAAAACTGAAAAAGTTTGGCCGGGACGGCCGATTACGTTAGGGCGAACCGGCTGGAAGCTGGGCCGGAGCGCGCGACGATAGTCCCGTAACACTTGTCCGCGTGGGAGAAAGTTTGTCGCAAGTGTCACCGAGTCGCGAGCACGGTCTGCACGGCACGGCACGCACCTTTTCGGCTGTTGCTGCTGCTGCTGTGAGTGCTG